CTGCAATCAAATGTTAAAATTCTGCAATCAACTGATAAAACCGGTACAACGCTGAGCGAGATGATAACTGCTTCGAGGCAGTCGCGAGTGCGTCGTGTCAGCCAATGAAATGATTGGAATAGACGGTGTGAAGCATTTTGGCATGCGTGTGATCCTACGCCAACCAGTGTTTTAATTGTGTCAAATCGAGTGGCAAGTCGAAATTGTCTGTTTTACTTCAGATTTTGAATCCAATTTTTTTTCGAATTTACTCAGCTCTTCGTGTAATGGAGAAATGGTTAAAGAAGTCAGTTGAAGTTGATGACAATGAGTCTTCAGTGAATCAAAACGAAGAAAAGTCAGGTCAATCAAAACGAAGAAAAGTGGTGAGAAAGTATGATTCCAAGCACTTAGAAATGGATTTACATGGAATGGAGATGAAGAAGATCCACGACCACGATATATTATTTGTTGTGATCAACTTGCAAACGAGAGCATGCGCCCAAACAAATTGCATCGCCATATTGAGACAAAGCATCCTGAGTTGAAGGACAAACCCCTCGAATTTTTTGAAAGGATGAAGACAGGACAGAGCGTTATGCAACGTTACACCAAAGTTAATGAAAGCCACATACAATTGGAGAGACTTTAGTTCTTCCAGCTATAAAATATACAATTAAAGTTTTCTTTGGTGATAAGAGTGAACAAGAAATTGAAACAATTCCTATTTCTAATAACACGGTCACGCGTAGGATCGATGAAATGTCTCGATGGATAGAAAATCAGCTAATTCAATAAGTTCGTGAAAGTACAATTTTCTCCTTACAACTAGATGAATCTACTGACGTACAAGGTCTGTGCCAGCTAATTATTTTTGTGCGTTATATATGGAACTCCGAACCTCATGAAGATATGTTGTGCTGTGAACCAGTCAGTCGAAGTACTAGTGATGATATTTTTAAGACTGTTGATGCTTATGTCAAAACAAAAGGTCTTGATTGGAATAAATGTGTCGGAATATGTACGGACGGCGCACGGGCTATGTGTGGTAAAAACATTGGTCTGGTGACCAGAATACTTGAACTTAATCCAAACGCATCATGGACTCACTGCAACCTTCACAGAGCTGCGTTAGTATCAAAATGTACATCTGATGATTTTAAAAATGTTTTGAACACTTCCATTAAAATAGTGAACTTAATAAAGTCAAAGCCATTGCAATCGCGCTTATTTGAGAAGTTGTGCGAAGAAATGGGAAGCAATCATAAATCACTTCTTCTGCACACAAAAGTACGTTGGCTCTCGAAGGGTAAAGTGCTAACAAGACTTACAGAACTCCGCGAAAAAGTTGCTATATTTCTGGAAGGTAAGAGCGATTTTGCGAGGTATTTGCGCAACGAGGAATTTGTTCTGAGGTTCACGTATTTGGTAGATATTTTTTCAAAACTAAACGAACTGAATTTGTACTTGCAAGGAGCAGAAGGT